AAGATACCTGGTCGGGTCGGGTCACCGACCTTAATGCCATCTGGTTCTTTTAGATTTCCACATTTTCCTCGTCGATATTTTTTTGCCCGCAGTCGCTGCCGTGAAAAACAGGTGGGGGAGAGACGCTCGCTTTGGAGTATCGAAAATAACAAGAGACTTCTTTAGGCTGGAAACAATCGGTACAGAGACCAGTCTGCGTCTAACGTGCGTGCCAAGCTCCTGCGCTGAGGAGAAACGCCTTATGAACCTTCAGGCGTTGCCAAATTTCCCATCATAAAATACGAATTCACTGGGAAAGTTGTGAATACTTTCATTCCAATTTTTCAGACAATATTGTTCGGAATTCAAGCTAAAATATCTGAAAATTGCAAGGAAATATTTGCATAACTTTCTTTCAAAATACATTTTTTATTAGGGGAAATTTGGCAACGTTCGAATGTTCATACGGCGTTCTTCCTTAGCACGGCAGCGAGGCAATGATCTCGAAGCGCCTTGACATTCAATCTACGCGGGATGCTCAGCAAGTTACGTTTCCAGCTATGTGAGTATAGATCACGTCGCTTCGTTTTAGCCGCAGGTGACATCATCGGAGCCGTACCGAGGAAAGACTAATAAGGACAAACAAAATGTAACAGGACTGTCACCGAGATGACAAAACACGAAAATGAAATGAGATAAGCAATCAGGAACACTGGGAGTTAGATCTAAACTGTTACTAGATACGATGGAAAACTACAGAAGTAAAAAGATTATTCCACTCTCTATAACTTGATGTTATGTCTAACTAGACTGGTAGTATGAATGGCACGCGACATCACGATTTTGCTATAGAGTAGCGGAAAATCATGATATTGAAAATCGTGGAAAATATTGCCAGAAATCCCAAACCTTTATGAAAATGGGATCCAACTAGCCGATTATCAGCCCAATATCAGCTAGATAGTGGAGCAGTGGCAAAGAATTTTGCAGGATCGTGGTATGGTTACTATAGGTGAAATAATCGGGAAACCCATAGAAATTATTAAACCGTTCAAAACAGTATTTTCAAGGGTAGGGAAAGCTAATCAAAATGCAACCAATCAAAAGCCAACAGACAAGTGAGTTTAGCCAATTAATAATCGCCGATTCTACCGCCTGGCTAAGCCATTATCAGAGCCCGCCAAAAATATCGCTTTAAACCGGTCCCATTTTTGGCAAGTTCAAAATGGGTCTTATTTGCCATTTAGGGTAAAAAAAAGGCCGCTAATATTGTTCAGTTTACTCATTTGTTTCCCTTGTGTTTCGCTATCGCGCGGATGTTGGAGGAAAATCAATCATTAAAAGAAAAAACCGTTTTTTTTTAGATATTTGTAGGTATTCCACAGTGCTAGTTGCATACCAGCTCCTGCGAATGAATTTTTCATATTTTTCAAAAATTTCACCACCTTGTAACATTTCATCAACTATTTCATGGTAAATTCCCATAATTTTTAAGTTTCTGGCGTTGCATACCGGCATGGCCTATACAGGATGATCAAGGGTTGAACGGCCAGTCTGCAAGAGCCGAACCACCCCCGAACGCCCTCTTTAAATTGAGATGTCGATTTTTGTTTAGATCATTTATGAATTCAGGGCATAAAAGTACGGGGGAGCACAAGTTAGAGGTTTTCGATTGGTTGATTAATCGATTAATCGAAATTTTAGATAATCGAAAGATTGGTAATCGATAACTAATCGAATCGAATCAAAATTAATCGATTAATCGATTATCCAAACATCTATTTCATGAGATTTGGTTCACAACCGTGGTCAAAATTCAGGGGAAGGATTTACTTTCCGAAATTGGGGGGGGGGGAGGGGGCATTTCTACGACTGGGGTTTTTTTTATCAGAAAAAGCTTTATACAACAAAAAAGTCCTATTTTGAACCATAGAGCAGGCTCCTGCAGTATGGCCGTTTAACCCCGGATTATGAATTTCGGTGTGTCTGACGCGCAGAGCATTTTTTCCGTGACTGCGATTTAGCATGGCTGAACGTTGGGCGATTGAAAACGAAAGTGTTGGCCCATTTGGTCGGAACCATGACACTGACTTGTCGTGGGGCTCTCGAGGAGGGGGGGGAGGGGGGCACGGATGCTGGGAGCTGGTTATTAGTTGCGAGGAAGGAAACGTGCGTTTTTCGAACTGTGTCGGTCAAGTGCACTGGTCTCGCGGGTTCCTCCCACCGTCCTTTCCCGCTCCTTTCCCTTTCATTTGACCAGTAACCGCACGGGCGGGCGTTTAAACGACTCCGAGGTTGCAAGACTGCAGCTTCACCACAAAGTGGATCGAGTCAATAGGAGAGGTCGGACAAAATTTGGAAACTTTAAACGCTTATAACTCCGTTTCCACAAAACGTTGAGGTTCTAAAAGTGGTTCCATTGGTTTCCTCGTGAGTTTACCATTCTGAAGCACCCATTTTTAAAATGTGACGAAATAAGCATCCAAATTTGCAGTTCTTGTCAAAAATTCCATGGCCGACCTCTCCAATTGTCTCGATCCCCTGTGCGACATCCAGGATGCAAGAGCAGAAAAGAACTTTGCCCTCAGTAAAAATAAAAGGAAAATAATGGTTTATCCTACAATGATTCTCAATGTATTGTGATACTAGGGGACCTTGCCCCCTGACCGCTACGCGGCCCAACCCCCGGGAGGGCGCCTCGCGCCCTCAGGCCCGCTTCGCGGGCCCTATACACATATGTATAGGCAAAGATGTTCTTCCATTTTAATACACCATTTTGTGTTCGAGCTGCATCGATTTCAAAATTTCTGACGTAACACTCAGATTTGTAAATGATGAGGAATAGCTGGATGTACATAATTTCACAGTCCACTTACTGGAGAAATTTACATTTATTATGTTACTTTTAAATACTTAATTTAAAAAAAAAAATCGGATTTCGACCGTTAAGAGTTAATAATATTTGGTCCGTCCCGTCCCGACGCGACGCAGCGCCTGCCTTCTCACTTTGTATCTGCTGTTTATCTGCCGTAAATATTAATAGAA